CAAAAATGTAACTCCAAAATGCCTAGACCCTAGGGAGCCTAGGTAAAAATCACAATTTCTATTGCTTGTTTCTAGTTGCTGACTTGAGCCTTTCCGTGTTGCCGTACAAGAGGGGGCCGCCAAGGGTATATAACATTTCTTGTGCATAAAGGCGAAGACCCCAGGCTCCAGAGGCTTCAATTGAAAATGTTGGTTCTGCGTAGGCGGCCCTTGGCCGCGCTTAGGAATTGTCTCTTATAATGACGATTGCTCGATTAAAAGGTGTTCGCACGAGGCGATTTTGCGTTCAACTTTTGCTTTCAACTCACGCAGGGTTGCACGAAAAAAAAGTTGAATGGCTAAATGTTGGCTGGCGACCAACTTTGTTGAAAGCGATTAGTTGAGAGGCCGTTCAACCAAAAGTAGAATGCAAAGTTGAACAATGCAAACATCTTTTTATGGCGAATATTTTTATATATTTTTTATATTTTGATATCTTTAGCGTGAGTTGAACACAAAAGTTTCCTGAAAAATCGCCTCGTGCGAAAGCCCTATTATGGCGACTGGGAATGGAATTGATGACTTGTGCTCGAAAGTAAACGGTTACCTCGCCGAGCTTCCTCACTTCTTCACTGCACGGAGCGTAACCCTCTCCCCTACGAAATCCTCGGCAACTTTATTCACCACCTGGACGAAGGATGTCAGACTACAACTAGGTATTCACGTCGATGGCGAAACAATACCGACGGTGAAAAACCCCAAAATCCTCGGAGTCACCTTCGACAGTCTGGTCCCATTCTCGGCGCACACAACCGCAATTGTCGACAGAGTACAGAGCCGCAACAATGTCTTCAAGTCAGTCGCTGGCCGGCAGCACTTGGGGCAAAGACAAAGAAACGTTGTTGGCAACATACAAGGCAATTGGCCGGCCGGTTTTAAACTATGCAGCGCCCGCGTTTTCGCCGGGGACTAGCAGAACGCAGTGGATGAAGCTACAGATCTGCCAGAATACTGCACTTCGGACAGGGATGTCTTCTGATGTCGCCCAACACCACCTTCACGACGAGGCCCAGATGCTCCCAATCAAGGAGCATAACACAGCCTGCTGAATCTGCAAATCTTGACAGAGTCGAAACACCAATCCCCGAAGCACCGTCCTCCTACCCTAACTAACAGTGTTTCTCTGGATCTAGTCCATTCAGACAGCGTGTATAACATCGGAAATCCTGATCGAACCATATCAACAATATGAGAAGTGAGGGTGCAGGTTAGAAACTAGTCCTTTCCAACTGCCCAAACAAGTGAAGCTACAATATGAGAAGTAAAGGTGCAGATTGGAAATCAAAGCTAAGGGGGGAGGCCCAGGAGGCAAAACCGCTTAAAAAGGGTGATAGTATCACAATTTTTTATAGCCTCTGTTAATTCATTAAAGCACTTTAAGCCTTTATAGAAAATATTTTTCTTGTCCACTTCCGTTCTATACTTCGGGAATCTGAAGCTGTTATTCTCTCTTAACAAATATGTATGGGTCTCATTTATATATCGTAGATTATCGCTAAGGTAATCCGGCAGGTTGTCCTTAATATTGTATACAAATTTCATAGCGTGGTAAAAAACTTGTTGCTTCACGCTTAACTAATTCAAGGTTTCAAACATACATCTTTTAGATGTGTCGTACGGTTTGTTGAGGATGAATCTCATCGCCCGGTTTCGCATTTTTTGCAGATTATCTACATGCGAGTTCCCCGCTAGGAAGAAAATCGTAGGGCAGTATATCGATGTCTGAGTGGAAGATCGACCTATCTCGGCAGCCAGTTCGAAAACGCCCAATCTCAGAAAACTTTTCAAGAACGCCCTACTTCAGAATTTTATTGAAAAACAATCTATTTCAGAATTTTATTGAAAAACACTATCTCAGAATTTTGTTGAAGAATGCCCTATCTCAGAACTCGGTTCAAAAATGCCCTATCTCAAACGAAAATATATTGAAAATAAGCTGAGATAGGGCGTTTTTGAATCGGCTGCTGAGATAGGCCGTTATTCAACCCAATTCTCAGGTAGGGTGTTTTCAAATCAAATTCTTAAGTAGGGCGTTCTTGAAAAATTTTCTGAGATAAAGCGTTATTGAAAATTTTTCTGAGATAGGGCGTTTTCGAACTAGTTGCCGAGATAGGTCGATTTTCCACTCAACCATCGATATGAAGTGGGGTTCTACTATTGACCTGTACACCAATGTTTTATATCTTCTTTCCAAGTACTTAGACGATCTTTTTATAAGGCCATTTTTTTTTAGCAAACTTCTTGACTGTATACTCAACGGGCTCATCAAACTTTAGTTTGTTGTCTATGTATATTCCTAGGTACTTGACACTTTTCACATCTTCGATATTTTCATCTTTGATTTTTAATTCACGGCTTACGGAGTCAACATTTGCCGCTCTGGACAATACCATAAAGTTTGTCTTTTTCACATTTAGTTTTAGTTTGTTTAAACACAGCCAATGATATAAAGAATTAAGATCTTCTTGCATTTTGACAATCGCATTTGATAGTTCCCTATCACTGGTCGTTACCAAGGCATCATCCGCAAAGAGTTTTATTTTAAAATGTCTGAGAGAACTTTTAATATCATATATATTAAAGAGTAGGGGCGCTAAAACTGAGCCTTGTGGTAAGCCGATGTCTAACGGCTATAGCCCTTACTGAGTAGAATTCTTTTTGTGTTGCTAAAGGAAATTAGCGCAGCACCTTTTGCACAGAACACCTTTCTGCGTCGGCGGCATTCAGCCGCAGTTAGGGATTATAACTACGGTGACCAGATTTCTGTGGCCAAAAATCGGAACACACAATTTGGTTTTTAGAATAAACAAAGAGAAAAAAAAAATTAAAAAGGTTTATTATTTTTTATGAAAATATAACTTACTATCTAAAAAAACATATAAAACAAAATTTCAAGATTTGTAGAATATTTATAAAAATTCGGCGAATTTTAATAAATGTTCATCATAATTTTCTAGCATTGATTTGAGTAGGCAGTTTAGTAGCACATTCAATTTTTGTACAATAAAGTACAAGTTGGAAGAAGCTTGGACTTACCGACGATTTTTTGCAATTTTTTGTTCGCGCACTTTCTTCCATACACATTTTGTTCAACAATTTTATTGTATTGAGAAAGTGAGCAACACCTTCCACAAAATTTACCAAATATCAACGGTAAGTCTTAGTTACTTAAAATTGCACTTTGAATTGAGTGGGTTACAAAACTGCATACTCAGAATGTTTCTAAGAAATCTAATTAAAAAGCTCAAAATTTTGATGAAACTGCCGAATTTTGCTATTTTTTGTACAAAGTTTAAAGTCTAGACTTACATGGTCTCTGTTATATAACGAGCCTCACAGTGTAATAAATATTAAATAATCGAAAGGGGAATAGCCAAAGAAAGCTAAAATGTCTCTTCCCTATTTATATTTTCGCTTATGTTTTTCATATCCACGATTTTTTGAGGGCATAAGTATTATTTTTTATAATTTCATTAATTATATTATTAATAAGGATGCTTGCTATGTTTATGGCTCACTTATATTCTATGTCCTTTATGATAAAGAAGGTTCTGCCTCGTTTGTACGAAAAATTGTTTTTGGGCCAGAGTACAAGGAGAGTCTTCTTCTTTTTATTTGGCGCTGTAACCGCCTAAGCGATTTTGGCCGAGTTCAACAAAGCACGCCAGTCGTTTATCTTCTGTGCCAACTGACGCCAAGTGAAGCCAAGTCCTTCTCCACCTGGTCTTTCATCGCAGTGGGGGCCTCCCTCTTCCTCTGCTACAACCAGCGGGTTCCGAGTAGAATACTTTCAGAGCTGGAGCGTCGGTGTCCATTCAAACGACATGGCCAAGCCAGCGAAGCCGCTGTATTTTAATTCGCTGCACTACTCATCTCATACAGCTCATCGTTCCACCGTCTGCGGTAATCGCCGTCGCCAACGCGTAAAGGCCCGTAAATCTTCCGCAAAATCTTTCTCTCGAATACTCCATGTCCATGCTTCTGCGCCATATACTAGCACGGGCATGATGAGTGACATATATAATGTGGTTTTCGTACGTCGAGAGAGGAATTTACTCCTGAATTGCCTATTCAGTCCAAAGTAGCACTTGTTGGCAAGAGTACGTCCGTCACGCTAGCTGACCCACTTCTCCAAAAAATGATAAAAATTACTTAGGAATTAGGTGCAATTTAAGGCCTCCAAAATTAATTTAAGTGCTCAGTTGGTTTCCGAGAAAATTGCAAAAATATATGGGTCCGCTAGCGTGAAGTCCACTAAATTTCTCGAACACTGGTAATTATTATTCAGGAAATAGGTGCAATTTAGGGTCACCAAAATTAATTTCGGTGCACACTCTGTTTCCGAAATATTCGCAAAAATGTGTTTTGGGTCAGCCAGGGTGACGCTAGTTGACCCACCCACTAAATTTCGTCGAACACTGGTAAATATTATTCAGGAATTAGGTGCAATTTAGGGCCTCCAAAAATAATTTAAGTGCTCACTCGGTTTCCGAAATATTCGCAAAAATGTGTT